AGTGAGAGGCTTGCTCACACTGCCCCTATTTTTAAAAAGCTGAAGCTGCTTCGTCTTACCGACATCGGTAAACAGCAATCATTACTTTTACTGCATCGTAAGCTAAATGAAACTTTGCCCACATCCCTAGATAACTTTTTTACCTTAGCTGAACCAGACCGAGTCACGCGCTCAGCTCATCATTTCAATGAAATGTTCACTGAAAAACTATACCGTACACACACGATACGATGGGCTGGTCCCAGGCTCTGGAACCAAATAATCAGTCCTATGTTTCCGAACATACAGACAATCCCGGCATCCAAAAGACAGCTAAAAAATATAATAAGAGGTTCTCTTTTAGACTCGTACTGATATTCATATGCACCTAACCTTACCTTAGATTCTTACTGATATCCTGGTAGGAAGGCCCTCATGGCCCTGCGACCTTGCGCGGCGGGCGTCGAGGTGCTGTGTTTGCCGCATAGGTCCGTCGGGGTCGGATAGCCGGCCCTCGGCGCCTGCCGCCGGGGACGTGGGGCTAGTCTGCGTTCCATTTCTACTATTTCTATTTTTCTGTCCTGTTTTTTTTTTCTCAGTAGTGTCTTGTTAAATCAGTTGAGGAGAGAGAGAGGTGGTACATTTCAGTGTTCCGTTTTTACAGTCATACCAAAATGGAATATTTTGGTAATACCCACTGATCATTTGTGTACCTATGGTAGTGTCGTTTGCCGTTTTGGTTATATGTGTATCACTTTCTTTGTATTGTATCAATGTGTCATGTGCCGTTTATGTTGTGTATGTGCGTTTGTGGATTTTTTTTTTGCGCCTGCCGCAAGAGGAAGTCCTAGAAGTTTTAGATACCGTAGTGGTCTCTATCTCCGATAGAGAAAACAATATTAGAATAACTCGCCCCTCATCTACCCCGCCTGCCGAGTTAGGCTCGCCCAGCAACAAGCTTGCTTAGCTGGGTGGCCTATTTCGGTGGGCACTTGACCATGCTGAAACCTGACCAGGAACCGACACCGACCTTTTGATCTGCATGCTACCGGCTTATACCCATGTCCTTGTGTGATTGTTCCAACTCCCTGTACGAATGTGTAACTAACCAAGGTATGAATGTATAGGTACTGAAGAAAAAAAAACAAAACAAAAAACGTAGTGTCTAGTCAAAGCTATTTTTAGCTTTGATTTCTTTCCGCCCCTTGTATGCATGACTCATAACACTACTTGCGTCTGTATTTGGCTGCACAGGTTTTTTTCGCTTCTTTTTTTGTTATTTTCCTTTTCTTAGCAGGGAGTGTCACGACTTGCATATTTTTGTTTTTGGTGTTAACGTATGGTTCTGTGGTCGTGCGGGACCGTGGGTGGACACTCCTGGTCGTCTGTTCATGGGCGGCGGACTATTTTGTAGATTAGTTAGTAAAAAAAAAAAAAATGAATCTTGTCTTGGTAGCCTAAGAGCACGTTTTGGATAATAAATCTCAGTCCATTCTTCGGCAACTGCGCTCCAAAGCCGATAATGCAGAAACTTGCATTTTGTAGCCTTGAACTGACCTTGACCTCACCTCTGACCTACTTAACCCGCGCATGACTGGGGTATTTTTCATAACGCGAGTGACTGAGGAGGGAGGAGGGGGCTCTCCAGAGACCCCCTCTCCTATCTCCGAAACTACTGGGCCAATCGTCAACATTCAAACGGCGTCTGATAGCCCTGGAAAAACTGTCGAAAGAAACCTATTTTCATTGACCTCGAGGTCACCGATGACGTCACAGGTCATGTCAAAAAAAAAAATTATCGGCTTTTTTGCTTGTTTACAATTTAGGCTCTGGCCGCCGGATCAGGCTCATTTTTGGTATACGCATTCCTTGATATATGCCTTAGATACCCTGAGGGTACCAAACTTTTACTCCTAATTTTTCAGGTCAAGGCCAGGCCATCCTAGGTCACGAAAATTGTATATCATGTATCGGTCACGTGACGCATGATTTATGGTCCATTTCACACGTAGATTTAAAAAACAATGTCGTCTGTGTCATTTGTGGTCATTTTCAGCTGCATTTACCGGAGGTCAGGTCAATTTCAGGTAAGAAAATGTCAAATTTTGAAAATGAAATTTTTCAACAAAACAGGTGGCTATCAGATGCAGTTTGAGCTGGGGCATCCCACGATAGATCGACCAAAGCCGTACACCCTCATATTTTATTTTTTTGCTTAAAATTGGTCTAATGGGTTGTGATGGGCGGGGAAGCCAGCTGTGCCAAGGATTTTTTTCTTCGAACAACGGTTTCCGAGATATAGCCTCAGGCAATTCCTGGAGGTCACGCTGCAACCCTATGTTTGGCGGCTTATAACTCAGAAACTATTGGTTTTCTATGGTAAAAACTTTATATGGTTCAACTCGCAATCAACCAACAAACGTTTTGGCTATCTCGGATTTTCGATTTTTGAAAATTTTGATCACGTGACATCTTGACCTTTTTTTCGAAGAGTGACCTTGATATTTTCCCAACTGAAAGTCGCAATTATGTCTGATGACGATTAAAGCCTTATCAATTGTCATTCATATGCGCAAATAAAAAAAGTGGCTTTCGGCCTGCGTTGACCTCAGTCAGGTCATTTTTATGACCTGTCCATTATTACGAGCGGGAGCGACGCGAAATCTCGAGAATAAAGCAAGATAGCGACAAGCGGTAAACGGTACAGGATTCACACGGATAAGGTCTACAATTTTTACGGAGGTCATTTTCAGGTCAGGTCAAAGATGACGTCACAGGGGTAAAAAGGAAGTCAAAATAGTTTTGGCTGTGCCTTTTGATCTAATAAAGAAAGAGACGTGGAACAGGCACCATTGTGTTTGCTTTCGCCTAGCGCCAGTTCGTTTTGAATTTCAATACCGATGACCTAAGATCAGGTCAATTTCTTGACCACCCCATTATAAAGTCAATTGGGGAAAAATGAGCTCCCTTGTTTTTACACTAAAACGCGTCTGAATTGCCTAATACACCATGAGTGACTTCATATGCGACTAACTTTGACTACCTTGAGACCTTTTTGCTCTTGGTCAACTGTGACGTTGCTCTTGGGTCATGTGACGTCGTTAAAGGTCACCAAATGTTTTTTTTGCTAATAACTCCTTACAGGTTTGAGATACAGCCGCGCGGATAGGCTCATTGTGTTCAGCTCGTGAAAGCCCAGCGAATGATATATATGATGACCTTTAAGTCACGTGACCTAAGGTCAACTTTTGACCTTGACCGTTCGAGGTCAACATACACATGCTTCGATGCGGATCGACGAGAGGATCACGATGGTGCTATTAGTTTGTTCATAGCTGGGATACTTTGAAAGTTAGTCGAGAAAAAACTTCATATATATGTAGTGCCGCCATTTAGACTTTCTTTTTACCCCTGTGACGTCATCTTTGACCTGACCTGAAAATGACCTGAGTAAAAATTGTAGACCTTATCCATGTGTGCTTTGTGCGGTTTACCACTTGTCGCTATCTTGCTTTGTTCTCGAGATCTCGCTGTCGCTCCCGCTCGTAATAATGGGAAGGTCATAAAAATGACCTGACCTGAGGTCAACGCAGGCCGAAAGCTACTTTTTTATTTGCGCATATGAATGACAATTGATAAGGCTTTAATCGTCATCAGACATAATTGCGACTTTCAGTTGGGAAAATATCAAGGTCACTCTTCGAAAAAAGGTCAAGATGTCACGTGATCAAAATTTTCAAAAATCGAAAATCCGAGATAGCCAAAACGTTTGTTGGTTGATTGCGAGTTGAACCATATAAAGTTTTTACCATAGAAAACCAACAGTTTCTGAGTTATAAACCGCCAAACATGGGGTTGCAGTGTGACCTCCAGGAACTGCCCGAGGCTATATCTCGGAAACTGTTGTTCGAAGAAAAAAAATCCTTGCCACAGCTGGGTTCCCCGCCCATCACAACCCATTAGACCAATTTTAAGCAAAAAATAAAATATGAGGGTGTAAATTTTATTTATTTTTGGTCGATCTATCGTGGAATGCCCCAGCTCTGGAACACGATGGTGACATTTATATTGCTGTTCGATGTCAAAAACGTACTGAAAAGGAATTTTGGAAAAAATATAATTGTAAAATTTTGACAATAATGCAAATAACTTGGCTATCTTTGAAGGTATCGGGCTAAAACTTGCAAGGTAGTTCATAAGTGTGTGTTCTATCACATTTTTCCGTTTTTTTTTTTTGCGAAAAATCAAATACCTACTTTTTGGAAAAAATCAGAAAATACATTTTTTGTAATTGTAAAAATATGTTTTTCAAAATTTTCAAATCTCGAAAATTTGAGATAGCAGTTTGATAGCTACGTGTATTTGTAGTCCACTGATGCAATGAAATGTAATCTAGCTTTAAAACTAAGCTCTTGAGAGCTGTAATTCAATATTTTGCATCAAAATCGGCCGACATGACGTCACTCTGACGTCATTTCCGGCCAAGCTGTGGTAGTTAGGAAGTTTAAATTTTTAACAAAAGGTGTCAAATTGATGCTTCTGAGGGTACTGCAAGTTGTGTGTTGATCCGTGAAACGTTTAAGAAGATATTGCCGAAACACGTGAGGGGGGCTTTGTAGAGCCCCCCCCCCCAGTCATGCGCGGGTTAAGCAAACAAAGTTGTGGTCCACAGATTTGTCTTGTTAAGAGCTTTCGATTGCTTATCGTCCCGTCTTTCTACGACTATCGGTTCGGAAGTAAGACGAGGGGGGCAGAATAGGTCCCACCCACCCAGCAGGGCGCGTTTGGCTGAATAGTCCAGCAAGAGGACGGGGAATGGCGGACTGGCCAGAGGCTATGGCGCGGGGCCGAGCCCACGCCCTACGGTGCGCGGGTTCGGCACTTTTTATTCATTCTGTCCCAAGCATTGCTTACAGCAGTACAGTGTTGCCACACCTCGATGTCGGGTCGGCCGGCGGGACCACTACCTACTGTATATAAAAGTGGTCGCCCGTCTTTCACCGTCACCAGTCGTGGCCGCCTGCAGCAAGCTCAGTGTCTGCACAATGCGCGCCCTCATTGTCGCCGTCCTCATCGCCGTGGCCAGCGGCTCCGGCATCGGCTACGGCGGACCGGGCAGAGGCTATGGCGCGGGGCCGATCGGCGCTGCTGTCGTGATCGGTAAAAGCCACGGCAGAGGCTACGGAGGCTACGGGCGAGGCTACGGCGGTCTCGGCTACGGCCACCTGGGCGTCGGCAAGGCTGTGGCTGCCGTGCGCCCCGCGCCTATCGTGCACGGCGTTCATAAGGCCGTCGCCGTCGACTACGCCGAGCCGCGGCCGTACCACTACCAGTACGCCGTCGACGACCCTCACTACGGACCCATGTTCAACAAGCAGGAGGAGGCCGACGGTGCCGGTAACGTTGTGGGCTCGTACGCCGTCAACCTGCCCGACGGCCGCACCCAGATCGTCAAGTACGTCGCCGACGGATACAGCGGCTTCAACGCCGAGGTCAGCTACGAGGGCTACGCCCATCACCCGCAGGTGGCTCGCGGCTACGGCTACGGCGGCGGGCGAGTCGGGTACGGCGGCGGCCGTATCGTGGGTCTGGCGGGGGGCCGTGGCGCCGGTCTGGCGGGGGGCCGAGGCAGAGGTCTGGTAGGGGGCTACGGCAGAGGTCGTGGTCTCCGTGGAGGCTACGGCCGTGTCCCAGTCTACCGGCACTGACCGGGAGCGATATGGTAACAGTTGTATATTGTCACAGTGGTGTATTGTAACAGTGGTATATTGTAACTGATGCATGTTAGCGTAGTTCTGTTAATGTTTGCAGTGTTGTTGTTGTCTTGTTGTAGGGGAAGGTGGGGGAACACCGCCCTTTGGGGAACACCGCCCACCCCGATATCAGAAATATAAAAAGGTCTAGCGCGACAGCTGACTGTCTTTTGGCAGCGTAGCGTCAACAGAAGTGCAGGTATGGGCACTGGGCAGTGCACCGCATTGGTTTAGGTGATTTCCGAGAAATTCCTAATTCTACGTTTCGTTAATACGTTTTATACTTTTTCTAGCAAAATAAGCAGAAGAAAACTTATCTTGTTTGACAGATATTAGTCCTGAAGTAGTATATTTTTTGCCATAATTAGGACTGATCCAAGCATTACGTGCTCCTGCTCGAGCGAAATTTTTGTCGTGCTGCCATATTAAAGGATTTTTTTTTTTAAAGAAAAAATGGAGACACTTGGGTAACACCGCCCACTTGGGCACTTTGGTATTTAATAGCACATTGTGACACCAAACCCAAGAGTGGCGCATTTCAAATAAAGAAAGAACGTTGCTGCTATGTCTTCTTTTTATTGGATAATGCTAAATTTCGAAAAAATGAAATTTTGAGACTTTAAGTCGTCTAGTTATATAGATTTAAATGAGTACTACATTGTACAACAGATGTAATAAAATCGTTCCCACTGCATTTTATAGATATACTAAAATGCCTCGAAATTTACGGGCGTGTGTATGCTGCCTGTGTGTGCCATATTTATTGTTTTTAATCTTGTGACTCCGTCTTTTAGTGAGTCAATTGCCTGTTGACGGTCTGTTGAATAAATACAAATACAAAATACGATAAGAACAACTTAATAGTCCAGTAACCTGCAAATTTCGTTGCCTGCTGAGCCCGGGCGGTGTTACCCAACGGTCGGTGTTACCCCGAAAAAATGTAGACATTAACTAAATGTGGAATAATGCAATTATGGACGACACTACAAGAAAACAACTGGCTGATATGTATGTAAAATTGATGCAACAATCCAATGAAACTGAGAGATTGATCATTTGGCCAAAAAATACGTGACTAGACCCTAAAAGGTTAAGGGGGTCGGTGTTTCCCCCCATCTTCCCCTACATGTTTGTATGTTTTTATTAGTCACCATTTTGGGCTGACTTTAAAACGCTGGCTCGTTCGTGACTGGCGTCACGGGCGTTTTCGGTTTGGCATGCTTTTCATAAAACGATAATTAGCCGTCGGAACGTTGATCAATATGCAATGCTCGTTACTTAGACTTAGAGCTTTATATGTACCAGAATCGCTAAGTATTTGATCAAAGATTTAGAAATATTTAGTCAAATGACACTTATCAACGAGGCTAGGCATACTTTGGAGGATGGGACTGGCATTTAACCCAGTTGTGAACTGCGACAACTACCTGAGGGCGGCACCTCTGTAAGGAGTGGCACCTACGTGAGACACCAAGCTTCATTTTAGTAGGCTTCATCTGGACAGAAGTGAAGGTCGAGATCACCAGGAGGTCATTCAGGGGCTTTTCACGGGTCATCGTGGCAAAGGCTTGCAGCAGGTTCAGGAATCGCCTGGAGGCCGGTGTTGAGGCAAAGGGAGGGTTTATCGAGTGAGGGCAGCAGAGAAGGTCATGACAAAGCGTCGATGAAAGTTTGAAAAATATATCTAATAAAATGAAACTTCAGTCGCTTTTTTCGAGAGATGTTTGCGCCGCGCACGAATATCGTCTGCAGTCGCACCCTATAAGTTTCAGTAAATGAAGATGTTGATGCACACTGTACAAAAGTTTCGCAAGTAAATGCAATCAAAAACACATGATTGCAATTTCATTGCAGCGCAAATTCCTACATTGCTAATGGCAGTTACGCAACAGCTTATGTTGGACAATGAATCAGTTAGTGCCTTCGATCCGAGTAATATGCTTTTGAAGCCCGTTTTTAAATAGGGGAGACCCGGGAGGTATGGGCCGGTTTTGTGAAAAGGCAATTTTCTTCCAGTGGGCAGTGGCTAGACCCTAGACCTGGTTTTTCACTCTGTGTACGTGAAATTGCCTTTCGCCTGCAAAGTGTGCCTGATATTAGGCATTTGGGACCAACTATTTTTCTTGATAACTTTTAATAAATCATGCGCTTTTTCGATCCATCAAAATACACCGGGAGGTATGGGCCATGGCCCATACCTCCCGGCTGTACCTACTATTACCAGCCCAAAACTTAAAAGTGTTTATCATCAAGAGCTGAGCTGACCTTTCTATTCGCCAACCAATGGAATACACGATTACTTTATGAAAATGTAGAGGTATAGCAAGATTGTCCAATGTTTTCCAAAGCGTGCTGCCTTTGTCCAACGAAATTTCGAAGTGAACATTTGACAAAATCGGAATTCGGAAGATCCTAGTTGCGATTGGCACCACTATCATCGACGTAGTAAGGTTGGGGGAGATTTTATCGAAAAGAGATGATAGACGTTCTGCTGAAGAGAGAAAAGTGACTTCTGTCAACTGACCGGTGTGCAGCGAGCAGATATTGATGCGCTGCAACTGTTATGTTTGTTGTTGTGCTGATTTTTTTAAATGGAGGTATGCTTAGGATTGCTGTGCCTATTTGTTTATGCATCAAACAACATCGGTGTTGGCGATATTATCGTTTTAATGGCATATAAAGGCAGTATGTTCACATTACCCCACGGTAGGGCAATTGGAACACACCGTGACTTGGTGGAGAAGTAAGGCTATGCTATTTAAGGTATGCTCAGCTCATCAAAAAAAGAGGCTTTTATGGTGAAAGGAAGCGACATTTGCGCTACTGAAACGGTTTTTGTTCATCCGGGGTTGAACTGAAATTTTGTATGACGAAGAGTACGTCAAAATATGTTCGAATTACCCCACCCTACCGTTCGCCTCCGACATGATTTCGGCCAGCGTTGGTCTTCGGCCCGCGGAGGTCCTGATTCCATCCGGGGGCCCTGAAAACCCCCTAATGGGTCCGCCCCTCCCCTTGGGTGCGTCCCTGCTTCACATAGTCTTCTTTAAGGTAGGGGAAGGTGGGGTAAGACAGCCCAGCGTAGCAAACGGACCATCAGCCTTCCCAGCTGAACGGCTGCTGTTATCTGCTGCTTTATGCACTCACTACCGTTGTGTTCCTTCGTACTAATGGCTAGTGGCTACCTTGATCTCATGTGGCCAGGATGCATAGCTTTTGAGCTGTTGAGAAAAATGTTGTTTTTTTTCGTTAAACTGCAAGATAATATGTGAGGTCTAAGAGTGATTTAAAATCGGCGCCATTCTTGCATAATTAGTTTTTATTTACTTTACTGTGGAGAACAATGTTATAGTCGCACTTTAGGACAGGCATGGTTTCGCAATGTTGGGCTTTTTAAGGGTGCGTTTCACGCGACCTTTACACCACCTGGCGAGGATCTTGCCGACATAGAGATACGTTTCTAGACCATAGATGGCCCTAGCGCTGAACGCCGGTTTGTTGTCACAAGACAAGTATCACATTTCCCCTGTCCATCCATCTGTTAGCGCAGAGGGGTTGGACTGCCGGGCCGCCCCTCCCCATCCGCGCCCCGCGAGTTTCGGGAGGATTGGCACGGGTCGGCCGCGCCGGTCAGGCCGGGCGGAAAGGACCAGATGTCATGCTTTCAGTCATTGGGCCGAACCCGCACCGACACACACGGATAGGGAAATACCGGAAAAATGTAAAGGCTAACAGAATGAGGTACAGGAAAGCAGCTTCAGTCACATTCATAGTGTTAGCTTCATTAATCCTCGCTTGGGGAAGTGGGACGTTTTTTGGTCAAACTTGCAAATCTTGCCCGTAAAAGCGCCGCGAAACTTTGCATAGCTTATCATACATCAATTTCTAATCGCGTGTGAAATTGTGGAACCCCGGTCTCAGAAGTTTTGGTCACCCAGTTCAGGTATAGGTATCCTAGATGCTCGAAGCTCGGGTTATTGCATGAGCTATCAGGCATGAGCTACACTGTATAGTGCCGGACTATCGCATCAGAAGGCACATAAGAATATGCTTTATAAAACTTTTTTTTTTGCAATTTTGTCACCGCTTCAGAGCTACAGTAGATGCCCGAGTCCTTTGAAAGTTGCGGTGCACAATGTAGTAAGGCCATTGGTAGCTACAACTTGTATGTCTCGGAATCTTATAAGTTCATCCGGACTTACACTTACACATCCGGACCGGACTTACAGACGGCACGCGCTGGTCAGCAGAGTGCCGAGCACAGTTGAAAAGCATAGCAAATGTTTTGCCATTGCCTAGACTCTAAAACGAGGGCAATTGTTTGTGAGTGTGATGTTTATAAGATGAAATACGGAGAAAAGTCGGGGTACACTTTTGACATGGACACCCTGTAAATCCCCCAAGAAATCGTTCGGGTCGGAGCTTTCGAAGTGTATCACAAAACTTCGTCAGCGTGTCGTAATCGGGTTCGGGGGCAGAGGTGAATAAAACTCAAAAGCTGTCACCTACGCGATGCCTAGCTGTCACCAATTTTTCACAAGTCATCTTGAAACAGTAGGTACCATATTTTTTTACGTTTTCTCATCACCTTTGTAGGCCTAAAAAAAAAGAATTGAAAATGAGGCTAGAATGTTTGAAAGAAACTGACCTTTCAAATTTCGGCCTCGGCATTACAACGCATCACCACATTTCAGTGACACAACAACAAAAAATAAATCACTATCATCCAACCTACCTATAGGTCTGATCGACTTCCTAGCTCGTCCTGGCTTCCTGATCCAGTTCAATCACAACTCACGAAAGGATTGTCAGTTGTCACTGGATACTGACTCACTTGCCTTTGCTCCAGTAGTCAGGACCAATTATCAACGCTCCTACCAGTTTCTGGGACCGATGGTCATGGACCTCACCCCAGTTGTGGCCCAGATGTGACGTCCCCGTCCCAGTCGCCCGGTCCTCCCTACTCCGGCGGCGGCCAAGGCCGCGCCGGTCCCCGCCTCCGCTCAACCGGCGACGAGCGGGAACGAGCTGTCGCGCTGTCGCCGTTTTTCCTGCGTTGTCTATGGCGCTTCACAACGCACCGGCTGTCGCACCGGCGGGATTTTTTCAGCCCCAGCTGTCTACAAAGAAATGAGGCTGTTAAATTTTTGTGCCGTGGTCCATAGTGGCCCTATATGGGAAGACAGCTCTGATTTTAACGGAAATAGCCTAGTTATCTATTTTAAATGCATCAACTGAGATGCTCGAATCTGTCTCTTTATTCCTATGGCTGTCACCTACGCACGCAGGCGAGTAGCAGGATTTTTTCACCTCTGTTCGGGGGTATTGGTCGCAAAGTTGAGGACGTTTTGCGACCGATTGGATTCCCCGTGATGAGGTAACTACCTACATCAAAATAGGTACCCTTTTTATGCAAAAGTATCAACTTCGAAATTTGACCTTTTTACCAGACCTTGACCTAACCTCCACCAGAAAGTAACCTAAACCGTCCCTCATGGCCGTCTAACCAAAACCATTGAGTTGGAAATGAAAAATTGGCCACAAAACATGCATCACACGGCCCTAGTAAAGCTGGGTTCATGTGTTAACCCTTGGTG